TACTTCCTTCCTACTCTAAGCTCACAAGTAAATAAATACAAAAATAATACAGCACTTAAAAGAAAACTAATAGAATTTACACACTTAGCTAACAGGACTTAGCTAGCTGTTAGCACTTAGCTAACAGCTAGCTTGTTATGCTAATTATCCTTAAAAAATAAAAACAGAGGTATATCTGGATCAAAACAAAAAGTGTTCTCATTTACCAACAAGCAGAAGGGTAAAAGCCAACTTTGTATCTTCAACCATAACTTTTTAATCAGGACTAAAGAAAAAAAAAAAACTCCAGGTGAGTTGCTCCAAGCAGCATAACTAGCATCAACGTTGTTCTCCTGCGCAACTCAAATTCACAAGCACCACACGGTGTCATAGTGCCACCTGCTTGCATTCCTTGAGTTAATTTTATGAGGCAATTTTTGTGAGTTAGGGTTGAAACAAAATGCTTATTTTCAAATCTGGACCTGAACCTCTCACAGACCACCTGTCCACTCTTTAAGTATGTCTGTCATTGTCTCAGGATCTAAGTGACATTCAGAGCCCTCAAAGAGTCTGTTTACTGTAAATAACAGTTTAGAAACCAAATCAGAGCATGGCTTTAGCTTCTGCTGTGGACTTTATCACTCTGTATTGTAAGAAATGAAAAGCTGCAGAGACTTCATTGCACTGAAACAAGTGGAAAATTGTGCTTCCAGTGAAGGTGACATTCTAGAAATGGCCCATGGTGAGTGAACAAACTCTACCCAGCAGAACAAACCAGACATAATCAGCCAACAAAGTTATAAAATGAAAGCAGCAGACCTGCTTTGTTCTGTCAGCTTCACAGTTTGCTCTCCAGCCCTTTTTTTTATTGTCTCCTTCACTTTTGCCGCCTCGCTGAAACGCTCCACACGCGCCGACACGATGTTTATCGATCGGCACAGCACTGATCACTGAGCTTGACTAACTGCTGCACCGATCAATAGCCCTGCAATAAACACGAGCAGGCGGCAGCAGTGGTGTTTTCTCCTCACCTGCTTTTAATGTGAAATATCCTCAGGCTCCTTATTATTGCTCAGGCTCTTGGGTCAGGTTTAACTAAAGAGTGTTCAGTATTTCTACCCTCCGATGTGACAAGCAGCAGCTCCATTATAAGCACAAAAACGTTGCGGCACAAAAAGAATCAAACAAAACACAAATGGAAAACAACAGCTCAGAGTGTGATGTGTGGTGCTTCACGTAACATACTTTCACTAGACACAGGTTTCCTACATGACAAGTATCATCATGATCTTCTTATCACCTCTGATAGTCGACTGTTATCTGTGCTCAGTGCAGTGTTTGATGTTGCTGGTCACAACATTGTAATGAAGAAATTAGAATACACAATTAGCATTAAAGGAAACGCACTGTACTAGTTTGAATTGTATTTATGGGATACTTCCTGGTATTTTGCATGCAAATTTTGTTGGAGATTTCCTCAATCACCTAAGGGTCTGTGCTGAAGCCAAACTTTTTATTTTATACATGCTTCCCTAATGTAACATTATTAGAAAACTATATATTTCTATGTAGATGATAACCAGTTATATTCATCTATGACATCATCTGAACCAAGTCAAATTGTATTTCTCTCGATAATAAAATGTCGAACAGTAGAGATGTGCCATAGGAGAGTAACAGAAATGTGGTTTTACGTACATTTGGTACAAGTTTAAGATCATCTGAATCAGCATAACAAAATAATATGGTATCATCTGCGTATAACTTTACATAACACAGTGTCATCAATATAAAAACTGGAAAAACAACTGAATCCATAACTGAGCCTTGTGGGACACCGTTAAGCATTAGTTATCATTAATGTCTCCGACATCTCTTCCCAGCTCCATGGCTTTTCAGGGGCAAAAGTTTAAATAAAGCTCTAAAAAAATGTCATATATAAACATCAATGTGCACACACTAATAATAAGATAATGTGTAAGTTAATAATTAGAGCACATTCGTGGAGTAGAATTCAAACTTAATGTAAATACACTGTGAGCTGCCATACGGCTGCGTTCACTTCGTTCTGGGGTGTTTGGCTCTCTTGGATGTGATGCAGCTGCAGGCCTTCACTCTGCCCCTCATGTTTGAATGTTATCTTCTTACATAACCTGTCATGCTGCTTCAGTGGTGGCTCATTATAAATAAAGGATTTGGAAAAATGCAAAACTATAACAGATCCCTCTGTCCTGACCGTCTCTTTATTCATTATAAACATTTCCACCCGGTCATTACAATAAAGTACACAAGCGACACTGAGCGAGGAGCGTTAAAGTGAAGGAAAAACAGAGCAATAAAATGCATTTAATCATTTCTTTTTAAGAAATGAAGAGAGGTCATTGGATCAAACATGGCAATTACAACAACAACAACAACAACAACAACAACAACAACAACAAACAACAGCCATGATATTTACAGCAACATCTGTAAGTCAACATAAAAACTGCAGCCAACAGCTGTATTTTGATGGGGACTATTTTCATCAGAGGAGCAATACAGATTTACAGACTGTTTAGAGCAGCAGGAGAAATGTGCTGCTTTTTTTTTTTAAATTAAGCTCTGTATTCATGGACAGCCAATAGGCTGGAGGCTCAGTGTTGCGTTTACTTTGTCTGTTTGTTAACATACATTGCTGCTGCCCCCTGCAGGTGCCGGTGGCTCACTGCTTCGGTCCCGCCGGTCAGAAGAAACGTTTCTGCTGTGTCTGCAGGAAACAAACAGAGGGAAGCACGGCGCTGCGCTGCGAAGGTCAGACCAGCACCATCACTAAGTAGACCAGTGGATTAAATCTCATGAGTGATTTTTTTTATTAGCGTGTGTGTGTTTGCGTGTGTGTGTTTCAGTGTGTGAGCTGCATGTCCACGCCGACTGTGCCATCTTCACCTGTGCCGACTGTCGCAGCTGCCACCTGGACGGGATTCTGGAGCAGGTATCGCTTTAAAAAATATCCGTATAAATATAAAGTGTTTCCAACAGTAAGCTGGACTCAAACTACGGAGGCCAATGCTACAAATGTCACTGAAGATGAGGAGTTTCTCTGTGACGTTCACAATCAGACCATAAAAGGGCTGAACCAGAGAAGTTCAGTCAGTTTGGTTAACAAACGGGCTCTTCTTAACTGGCACAGAGATGCTGTGTTAAGGCTGTGCGTTATGTTGTAATGCACAAAAACACCACCAGAGGGCAGGCTCTATAGGTGGAAGATGCAGCTGAGCTCAGCGAGCTGTGAAACATGACTGCTGGAAGTAGTTTAGAGTAGACTCCAGCTACGTGATCCATCAGTGAGCCGTTTGGCACATCGATCGCTTTAATAATTATTTTAGGTAGTTTAATAGTTTATTCTGATCCCTCACATCTATAGCTATGACGACTTTATTGTAGATTTTTATTGTATTTCTTTTTAAAATACTGACTTTGTTAGAAGTAACACAAGGCTTCTGAATTTATTCTCTCATATAGTACCTGCTGCTCTCTGGCACCAGCTGAACCCTCAGCGTCCACTCATCTCGCGGTTTTGGTTGGTGCTTGTGCAAACCTGAAACTGTGTCTAACTCAGTTAAAAACACAAACAAGAAATAAAGCAGTTGTGGTGGTCGTTTCAAAGTGTTCTGCATCAGTGTTCTCCATCTCTGTGCTCCTGCAGTGAGCGATCACTGAGACGTGCTGAAATGACCTTTTCTCTCACGCTTCATCCCTCGCCATGCACGCGAGGTTACCAAAAAAAAAAAAACGGGCGCATGGCAGGGATGCTCTGTCCTCCGGCATCTGTGACATAATTTTTTGTGACAACAATGAAAACGATCAGTCACTCCTTGAACTGAAGGTCAGGAGCTTGAGAAAGTTCATGCATCAGTATTTTCCACTAAAGGAGAGGGAAGTGTCACCAAATTCAGACTTTGTGATAAAAACTGCTCTGAATACTGCAGTGTAATACCATGTGCACAAGATGAGATGGTAGATATTTCCACCTTAAAAAACTAAAACAAAAATAATTGATAACTGAATTCCTACCTGACAAATTTTTCATAGTTTGAAATGCAGGTAGCGCCCACTGTGCAGCTAGTCTACAATAGAAACTGGGCTCTGTGATGTAGTGATATTGATCAGGTCCAGTCAGTCTGACTTTAATCAGAGACGTTGTAAGACACTTCAATAGGATGTCTGCCGTCAGTTCAGTGTGTGTAGCTCGATCAAAACCCATCGATCGCTCACAGTCTGGATAAAAAGTGAAAAGCATGAAGCTGATCTCCTGCAGAGCTGATTATGGCAGACAGGCTGACAACAACCCCGGGAAGCTGTCGTCAGGTTTCAGCCCATCTATTCACACAGTGCACTTTTCTTTTTCAGTGCTTTCCTCCTCACAAATATGACATTTCATTTTTACGTCCTCCTCAATTAGCTGCGGCTGATGGGGCCTATTTTTAGCGCTGGATTGAAACTCATTTGGCGGTCTTCTTTTCTTTCTGCTCCAGGATACGTTCCACCACCACTGGAGGGAGGGAAACCTGGCGTCAGCGGCAAGGTGTGAGGTTTGCCGGCGTTCGTGCGGGTCGTCTGACGTCCTGGCAGGGATGAGGTGCGAGTGGTGCGGCATCACGGTGAGAATCAGCGAAGAATGTGTCAGCGTTGATTTCCTCTAGGGTGGGGTTTAGGTTGGGTTTCAAGCAGCTCAAGTGCTAAAACCTGCAGTCCCTCTAACTTCCAGCAGAGGCTCCAGTCCATTCATGACACCTGTACAGTTGATGAATTAAATTCCATTAAGGTTTAAAGCTTCACCCCAGCTAACTGGAGTCCCTGCATTCCCACACTATTCTCTTCCTAAATTTAAATTGAACCTCTTTGAGATCATTTAGCTGTCTCTGGTCCTGATGATACAGAAACTGTTAACAAGTAAAGGTGATTCCTGAGTCTCCACAGATCCACCTTACCCCATAGACCAGGGGTGTTGAACTCCAGGCCTCGAGGGCCGGTGTCCTGCAGGTTTTAGATCTCACCCCGGGTCAACACACCTGATTCAAATGATTAGTTCATTACCAGGCCTCTGGAGAACGTCAAGACATGTTGAGGAGGTAATTTAGCCATTTGAATCAGCTGTGTTGTATGAAGGACACATCTAAAACCTGCAGGACATCGGCCCTCGAGGCCTGGAGTTCGACACCTGTGCCTTAGACTGTATATTTATATAGTTTCTGGACTCAATATGAAACTTCAGCTGTAGTTTTTTGTGACCTCTTTGGGAACCAAGAGCACCCATATTTGGATCAGAGGGTGGTATGTGTTATCAGCTAAACTACCAGCTAATGCTAACTAGCTTGGTTATCAACCTAATTTAATTACTTAGAAATGCTTCAAAAGGCTCCAACAGCACAAACACAGTCCAGAGGTGCAGTTCAGGTGAAGCCTTGCTAGCAGCTAGCTGAACTGTCAGTCAAAGAGGCCACGCCCCTAATAATGTAAATTTTAACACTGTACAGGTGTTATGAAGGGTGGATTACCTACAGATACTAAATCAGTGTGTGTATCAGACTGTAAACGTGTCTATTCCTGCTGTAAAGTTTTAACATGGAGTCTGTGGGGACTGACAGGCTGGAGCCCCTTGTGGGCGTTAGAGGAACTGCAGGTTTTGGATTCGTCTTCCACCCTCAGACGATGAGGTTGATAAAACTCTGAGATCACGGGTGTTACGGGATGTTTCACTTCCCTGAGCTTTGTGTGTGTAAAGTGACATGTTGCTTTCCCGCCTGCAGAGCCATGCGGCATGTTACCTCGGCATGCCGGCAGAGTGCACTCTGGGACGTCTGCGCTGCATGCTGCTGCATCCGGCCTGTGTCCGCCTCGACTCCAGAAACTTCAGCAAGATGCACTGTTACCGCATCGCTGAGAGCTGCAGCCACGAGCTGGGTATGCACACAGTGAACCCCGCCTTATAGAAAACGTTCACACTTCAAAAAAAATAAAGATTTACATCATCGGGAGTTAATGGGAGGCAGGTCTGCACAGCAGGAGTGAAACAAACACACATATGCTCCTCCAGACCACATCCTTTGACGCTACTGACACAAACTGTGTGAACCGCAAACGCTCGGCTCGTTTCCTGACAGCTTCACTGCTGATCTGAGCTGTGAAACTGAAAAAAGATGTTTTTAAAGAAGTCAGGATGTGAACAGTGCAGACAAACATCCAAACGCCGAGAGCTCAAACACGAGCTCCTGCAGGTTTCAAAGGGCCAAATCACAAAATTCACAAAAACACTTCAGGGTGTTTCTGTTTTCCAGAAAATTCTTCCAAAATAAAACTCTTAACAGCCAGGAAGTCAGGAACAACAAGAGTTAATTTTCATCCTCCAGACGATCTCCAAAGTCTCACAATATCTGAACTCACTTTTCTACTCTGTTTGTAGAAAGAGTTGAGACACTGGAAATTAAATACAGAATTTGATGATTTTAAAATCTGTATTTTACTCACAATAGAACACAGAAAACATATCAAATGTGTAAACGGAAAAATAAGATATGAGCTAAAACTCACAGGTTGGTGAATCTCTGCCCATCGTTACTTCTGAAAAACTCTGCCTCTCTAAGATGCTTTTCTTATACCTGATCATGTGACTGACCTGCTGCCATCTGATTAGCTGTTCGACGTTTCTCCAGCTGTTTCTTTTTAGCATTACTTACGTTTCCAGCCTTTTCTTGCCGCGTACCAACATTTTGAGACACATTTCTGCCATCAAATTCAAATTGAGCTTATAATTTTTGGGAAATCTCTCAGTTTAAACATTTGTTCAATTGTGAATAAAATATGGGTCTATGAGATTATCATAGCTATCATTGCTTTGTGGTGGTTGGTGTTGTGTTTCTACGCTGAAACACCAACTGTTGTGATAAGAGAGACAACCGTGGTGCTGTCAGAGACCTTTTGTATTTTTTAATTGCTTGTTGATGCTTTTATTACTTGACAAATCCACAAACTAAGATTTCAGACGTCAGGCTGAAATGAGAATAAGGTGAGCTGCTGATCTGAGTCTGTTTCAGGTTGTTCCAGCTTGTTGAAATCTGATCAGGAAGTTCTGTGTCCAGTAAACTGTCTCACCTGACCAGCTCTTTTCCTCCATGTTTCCATTAGATAACTCCGATGATGCTGATCTCTCTGCTGCAGCAGCGCCAGCATCCAAAGACGGTCAGCCGGCTGCCTCAGAGTCAGGTCGGTTCACCGTATGTCTGTATACAAGCTCCCTTTGTGTTTCAGAGGTTTTATTAATGACCGACTGGTGGATGATACAGCTGTGGAATAACATTTCTGCTTGCAGATGTTGCAGTCACATCTGGTTTTGTCTGGTTTGTTTACTGTGACCCACAGGTAAACAGTTTCTCAAGGTGTTTGATGGCGACGATGCAGTCAAGCGCGGTGTCTTCCGACTGGTCTCAATCACAAAGAATGAGGAAGTGGTGGTAAGGGCTCTGCTTCCTCCCAAAAACCTGACACACACACACACACACACACCAAGACGGGTACTACTACCTCTTCTACTACCGAAATCTCACACAACTTTCATGGAACACAACTTTCAAAATAAAAGCAGTGAGCTGTAATTCTGCAAAAGCTATTTTTAGTAATATGACACAGAATGGTGTCAGAGGAATATCCCGAACACCGTGACTAATCTTGCTTCTCAGTAAGACTGTGTCTAACTTTGACCTTGGTTGGATTAGAATATTAATTAAGGAAAGATTATGAAATGAAAAACCAGGATTTACATAATTAAATAGTCACAGATATGAAAGGCTTAAAACCCCCAAACTTATGAGTAAAGTCAAAATTATGGAGTAAAGGGTTTAAAAACTTTTCATATACAAATTAACAATAAGTTACAATAAAAACAAATCTAAATTTGACTCAAACTTAAAAGAAAAAAACTAATCAATAAATTAGAAGATGACAAATGATAAAACTAAAAATAATAGTCAAATTTCTTTGATTAAAAAAAGTAAGAATTCTTTAAAAAAGTTTACATTTTGTCCCAAAAACAGGAGAACGGTCAAAGTTCAGATTTTAAATCTTAAGTAAAATAAATTAAATAAATAAAATTCAACATCAAAGTCAACATTAGGTACAGCAATAATTGAGAATTTGAAAAAAGATTATGAGCTAAAGAGTAAGACTTTTAAGTAGTGACAAATTAAAACCAAAATGAAGACTGTAAACTAGAAAGTGAGTTAAATGCCTGAAAAATATACTTTTTTTTAGGCATTTAAAAAACAAAAAAACAAAAAAAACCCCCATAGCTCTATGATACCTGTGTTGTCCTGCAGGAGGCGGCGCTGAGGGCCTTCTACCTCCCCGACGACCCTCAGGACTTCGAGCTGCACGAAATCGGCGGCCTGCAGCGTCTGCACAGCGACGACATCCTGAACCGCAACGGCAGCCCGGACAACAGGAACTCGCTGAAGGACGGAGGCGACTCGTGGCTGCTGAGGGCAAAACCCCGAGTCACTGAGGTCATCAAGGTGTACACTGACTGGCCCAGGTGAGTTTAGTCAGGACTCTGTCCACCACAAGAAAGCAACCTTTTGTCACGTGCTGTGTATAAGAGATGAACGTAGCCACTGTGATGTCACCCACTGTTTGATTCACGAGGTAGCCCTGCCCATTTTGATTGAATCAAAATTTCTGACATGATCATCGTCCTGTATATAGTCCTTCAAACTAATGACTAATGAGACCATAAACGTGTACAACCACAGTTGTTTGCAGCCAGAGGAGTCGCCCTCTGCAGGTCATTGGATTTAATGCATATTTAAGCCCATCAAACCTGAAAGCTACGTCCACCCGTTACACACAGAGTCCCTGGTTTTTGTCAACTAACTGTTTTTGTGTTTCAGGTCAGGCGTTGCTTTCATTTCGGTTTCCGTCTCAGACAGCAGCACGACGTCCTCGGTCCTCGCCGAGGTCCTCAGTAAGCTGGACAGACAGGTAAAATTACAAGTGTTAGACGAGTCCAGGCTCATATTAATGCCTGAAAGAACATGAGCAGGACATTTGAGCAGTTTATACTTCAATCGGCAATTTGAGCTGTTTATGTAAGTTCAGCCCTGAAACCACTGATGGTGTCGATGATATGTGCGGTTTCAGGAGGAAGATCTATCAAAATTCTCTCTGCTGGAGGTCTGCATGAGCAGCAAGCAAGGTGAGAACTACCCGCATGAGGAAAAACAAAATCACATTTTGGTGACTGAAATCATGTGAAGAAAAATAACCCAACCTGCAGCTGACCTGGAAAACGAGTATGAGCACTGCGGTAGAGCACATATTAATGCTGACACGATGATGATGCGGTGTTATTCATATGTCCCTATTACATCGTTTATCACTCAATCACGGGCCTCTTTTCTACAGCTTTTTCTACAGCAGGACCAACTACAGGAACCATATTGTTCTTGTACAGATTTCCTGTTTTAAATCTTATTTTATTATCACTATTAATAAAAACCATTCATAGATTTAAGTTAAAAAAAAAAAGATTTGTTTAGAAAAATAATCACTGATTTCAAGCTTTTCATAGAGTTCAGCATTCTGATGTATGAGCCACACCTGTACGTCTACAATCTTTTATTTAATACTTATTTCTGGTGAAACTTTACCCCGGAGTACCAGTATGAAGGTCAGAAATTGCAAGGGTAAAATTTTAATCGCAGATAGTTTAGATTACAAATTTATTTATGGTGAGAAAAAAAATTAAAGTCACCGATTAATTTAATATAATATAATATAATATATAATATGAATGTAATCAGGTCTTACTTAAATCTTGCTTTGTACAACCATTAATAAACAATTATTGAAATAGTGGGGCCTATTTTTTAAATAGGCTCCGCCCATATTTGGGGCATTTCTGACCCCGCCCCCTATTTTGAGATTGCCTTTAAGCCACACCCAATACAGCTTTTGATTTTCTTTTGTTTTTTGTTAAACTTACTTTTTGAGACGCTCAGCCAATATCAAATTTCAGCCATGTTCTCAGAGAACATGCAAGATCACAATTAAATACATTAGGTCTCTAGAACACGTCAGAGTGGGGGGTTTTTTGTAGATCCATTTTTGAAGTGGTTCGTGGTCAGCGTGGAGCTGCTTCTGGCCCATGAATATTTTCAGCTCAGTTTAGTGTTTTGAATACTTCACCCACACCTGAGCTGCACACAGTACAAGCCGCTGTCATTCTCTTCATTTTAAACATTACGCACCTTCTTCAGCACTTCTAAAACCATAAACTTGGACCTTAGAGCAGAGCGTGGAGTCTTGCCATGCTCTGCAGAAGCTCTATGTGATACCGGAGAAGGTTGTGACCTTTCTGTCTCTGTCGTCCAGTGCAGAGACAGACGCTGACTCCTCAGGAAAAGCTTCGGGACAAACTGCGGGAGATCAGGAAGGTAAGAGGACAAACAAGATTTCATGAACTTTTATAAATGCCAACGCTGAGAATAAGTGATGCATTTAATTGTTGCCATTTGCACATCCAAAGATTAGTGACTAGCCACGTGTCTGAGGTCAGATTATATGAATATATTAGATTATATTCACCAAGTTAGGTTAAGGTTTTGGTAGTGCCTGCGTGTCATTCTGTCTGTAAACACGATAGCACAAGAATTTTTGAATGAATTCTGATAAAACTCTGTAAGAGTGCAGAGTGGGCTGGTGTTGGCGGTCCATTAAAGCTTGGCTTACATCCACCGAGGTCTTTAACTTCATGATTAATTGGTGGAAAACTGACTTAGAAAACATGATTCAACATATAGAAGGTCTTGTCCAACATAATTTGACCTCTGACCTCTCCTACAAGGTCAGTAGATTGCTGTGAAGGTCACAGTGGTAACAGCAATATTTAGAGCTTTCTAAAGCTACGTTTCCATTGTTGATTGTGTTTATGGTGGAGTGAGTACTGCCAACAAAAAGAGAATGAGCTGCATAGTTAAAAGTATTCTGCAGTATAATATTGTATAAAAAGTTCTGTTTATTGTCCTGTTATTTACAAATCAGTATTTATTATCTGTTACCAGCTCCTACATAATGTTTGCTACGCTCACCACAAACCTCTTGAAGTATGTTTCATAAGAACAAAGAAAAGAAGTGTTTATGAGCATTTACAGCTCAAACACAGCATGAGGAAGAAGTGCACCGCAGCCTGCTGATGCTCGATGTGTCGACAGATTTAGCCACACTGACCTCGGTGTTGTTGGTACACAGCATCGTTTCACTTCTGTTTTTTATTTTGATTATAGGCTTTTAACACCCAGCTTTAGTCTGGGGTTTAATTTTAGTTACTGTAGTAACTCTGACAGAGACACGTGTCACTATAATAAACGTCACTTTTTTTCTTCTTTTTTTTTTGCATTATTATTATCATTATTATTATTTTAGTTGCAGGTATATAAGTCTGCTAAGCTGGATGTCTGAGCTGCAAATATAAATATTTTTACAGTATAAAAATAATGGTTTCTGCAGAGGGTGACGCTCTTTGTTTTCTCTGTGGCAAAGCCGCCAGCATCAGTTAGCTGATTCTGCTTCTTTCGGCGTCTCCTGCTGTGCATGGTTAGGATCTGCAGTCCTTGTAGGGACTTCAGTCTCCTCTCGCTGTCAGACGTTTCCATGTGTTAGACAAACGTGCTAACCACTCCACTGTGAAGCCGCTCGTTATTCAGTTTGCAAAATTCATCTGCAGGTGTTTACATAATCTTTTATTTTGTCTGCATGTTTTCTGTTTTTGTGACCATCGAGAGGGAGAGGGAGGGGAAACGTAGAGATGACGGGCAGGTAAAGGTCGGGGACTCGTGGTCTGCATCCTAACCGCTTGCCTCTAATTCAGTGAACTTTGTGGTCATTCCTGCGTTGTGCCTCAGTTAGATCGTAACCATAGTGCAGAATAAAAAGATGGTCGACGTGCCCTGACATGGTGATGTGGCGTCGCGCTATGTGCAGGTGTCTCTGCGGCAGATGAATCAGACTCGGTTCTACATCGTGGAGAATAAGAACCGGGCGGTGCGGGTGGAGCTGCTGATTGGAGGGCTGCCCCCCCTGCTCACCACAGAAAAGTACACGCAGCTGATCGAGGAACACCTCGCCATCAAGAGTGAGTCGCTTTAAAAAACGCATGCTTTCCTCCTGCGGCGCCCTCTGGTGGGTGGATGTGAACGAAAACGTGATTAAAGCGTGTGACGAAGTTAAAAAGTGAAGCTCTGTCGTGTTTTTATTCAAACCGAAGTTTTATGTTCAGGCTCATTTCCCCTTAACATTTCCTCCTCTTCCTCTCTGCAGGTCACCTGGTCACCATCAGCAATTTCTATCTCAATCAAGGTGAGTCGTCCGTCATGAAAGCAGCCTGCTGGGCAGGTTTAAGGACACATGTAGTCTTTCCTGGCCTCCTCCTGCTCAGATCACCTTCTGTAGTTTTCGCACTGGTTCTGTCCCACGAGGACTTCTTGTGTCCTTATGGGTAAATAAATTTGAACACATCTTACTGAATTTATGTCAGAAGAAATCTGTGAACTGCAAGCTAACCATGGTGAGAGTGGGAAGCAGGACTCGAGCGTCACCTGATGGACAGAGACGGATACATACATGTTTCTAAAGAGGACGGGACTCTGTCTGAAATGCGCTGCTGTCCAGATCAGTTAAATGGTCTTCCTGACTTACTGACGCTCACTTATGAGGTGTGATCAGAAAGTTCTGGGAGTTTTCCATAAAAATCTAAACTCTCTTTTTCAAGGTCATCTTCAGGTGTAGCTGATCTCCTGTGGTTTGTTGAAATGGTGACTCTTCAGCTGTATTTTTCTCTGTGCTCAAAGGCGCAGTGAGATAAACCCGCTGAGCAGGTAGGGTGCGTTGAACACTGCGTTGAGTGGTGGCATCATTGGCGTCGTTTCCTTCGGTTTTCTCCGTCAGAAGTCTGTGTTCGCTGTGCGACCCTGGGGGACAAATATTTAAAGAAATGATGATAACGCTGACGGTCACACTGCTGGCCCGATGAACCTCAAAACCATGACTTTGTATTATTTAAGAGCAAATTCTTTCTGATCACACCTGGTTTCCTGTCTCAGTGATGGATGTTCATATATAACACAGTCAGAGTTTCTAATGATGAGCTCAGTGCGTACAGATCCCACAGCTCAGTCTTAATATGCTCTAAACACTTGGTTTCAGTTGGCTTTTTGTACCATTGGCTCTATATGATGTCACAAAGAGTTATATTCCTAATATGGTCATCTCAGACCTACAAGCTCCACCCC